TGAGTGTCTGCTCATGAGTCAGCACGATCAGAGGACCAATACACAGAGAAGCCAATGTCCAAGGCCTGCTAATGTTTCTAATGGTCTTGTCAGATCCAATGGAGATGCTGACTCAGAACCCCAGCACGAAAACAGTGAAAGCCTGTGAGTCTGCTACACTAAAAAAAGAAACCACTTTCTAGAATTGGAGCCACTGTCACAAATCAATAAACAAAACATCCTGACTATGCATTACAATATAAAGAACACCCTCCTTAGATAGGATTGCTTATGTAGATACAGCCCACAACAAAGACTTTCTCAGCATTTTAAACTGTTCTTAAGGCTCAACTTTTCTACTAATTTCTTCTAGAAGAGAAAATATTAAAATGCAGCATAAATTAAAATCAGGTATAATTGCCATTTTGTAATTTTTTTTCCCAAACCAGCTAGTAATTATCAGAATTTTAGGACACCTACTTTTGGCACAGTGGTTAAGAGCTACAGCTGCTAACCAAAAGGTCAGTAGTTTGAATTCACTGGCCACTCCTTGGAAACCCTATGGGGCAGTTCTACCCCATCCTATTAGGGTAGCTTTGAGTCGGAATCAACTCTATGGCAACAGGTTTGGTTTTGGGTTTACTTTTACTACAGGAATTCCTGGGTGGTACAGATACTTAAGTGCTTGGCTACTAACCAAAAGGTTGGAGATTCAAATCCACCCAGAGATGCCTCAGAGGAAAGGTCTCGTGTTTTACTTCTGAAAAATCAGCCACTGAAAACCCTACGGAGCACAGTTCTACTCTGACACACGAGACCACCATGAGTCAGAGTTGGCAAATGTTTTTTGTGGGGTTTTTTTTTTTTTTTTACTCTTAATATAGTCTTTTAAAATAAAAAGTAATTAACATCTAATTGACAAATAACCTAAGGCACAACATTTTCTAAAGAGTCAAGAAGAACAAACTACCTTTAAGAAAAAGTTACTTACAAATTTAAAACATGCGAGACATTCAAAACCAGGGTAGATCACACTTTACAAATCTGAGATAGCAAGTTTCAGAGGAAGTTGTCACACTGGTATACTTACCCAGTTTACATGACTATGTGGTTTACATGCATGTGTTTAATAAATCTACTTTAGCAAGAGCATGTGGAAGCTGCATGATAGGTCATTTTACTAAATGCACTGTTGCTTTAAACAGCATTTCAGAACTTGAAGGACTCGATGGCCATCTGTGGATGTTCAGGTAAGTTATCCTCTCCTGCTCAGAGGCAGCCAGGCCCTAATTTCAGTTAACGTCGGGAATTATCATTGCACTGTCTCCATGAACCAGGAAGGACCCAGCAAATGCAATCAACCCCAACAGCACAATGTACAGCTGAGTCATAGGAACCTGTGCTGCTTCTGTGACTCATGCAATCTAGCTATCAACTCTCCAGTCCATGATTACTGATTATATCTAGTCGAAGGAGGAATTTATGGTAAATATTAGAATGAAGAATTCCAGATGGGGTAAATTAAGAGAAAAACACATGAGTTTGGGGTGAGGATGAAAAGGAAATGCTGGTTTTATTTCCAATGTGTAAATAGAATAATGTGGTTAAAAGCAAATCTATTCACTAAAATATTCAGAAAATGGCCTCGGCTCCCGCACATTGCTTAGCCCATCTAGGTTAAAGCACAGAGAGAATCGACTTGAGATCTCTCCTAGGAATCTGGGACAAGAAAGTGTTCCCAACCAAGTCACTATATTCATCAATAGGAAACTGAGCTTTGTTTTTTTTTTTTTTTTGCCTATACATATAAAACAGCAAGCTTTTTGGCTGTTTAAATATTCCAGAGAGCTTCTCCCTATGTGGAAGCAAAACACTCAGAAAAATCATAGCTGTCTTGGGGCCCTAAAACAGCCATGTCTAAGGAGAAGGCAGCAATTTTCTTTGAAGTCACTGAAAAACATGCTCTGGAGCAGCCGGACTTCAAAGGCACACACCCTGTATCTCCTTCGGCCTGGCTGCTGGAAGAAAGGCAGTCATCTGGAGTCCAGCTTTATTTAATGACTGAAGAGAGGGTACTTCAAAATTAGCCATATTAATTATATAAACAACAACAACAAAAAAAAAAAACCCTCTGCCACTGAGTCAATTCCGACTCACAGCGACCCTGTGGGACAGAGTAGAACTGCCCCATAGGATTTCCAAGGAGAGGCTGGTGGATTTGAACGGCTGACCTTTTGATTAGCAGCAATCTCTTAAGCACACCATCAGGACTCCTTAATTATATACTAGGGGAGGAAAAAAAAGACCCAGAAAACTACCCAGGAAGCAGATGCTTGGCAAATACAAGGCACCCCTCCTGCTCTTGTCTGGGTATTTTAATAAGTCTGTTACAAGTTCTTCTGGCATCCCTCAATCAGAAAATAAAATTCTAAGTAGATTTAAAGTATCCAGGATCTTTGCAAGATATGTTGCCATCAGCATACAAATTTATTTCAAAAACAGAAGAGGACTAAACGTGGAATAAGAGAAACCCGTTAAAACGATACTGGACAGGAAAGAATAACCTGTCTACCTATAAGACGTAGCTATTTGCATTTATATTTAGCAATTCTGGAGCTTTGCATGTTCCAGTTATTACTTCAGTGCTTTGCCTCTAGCTTCTAACATTCCGACAGCAAAGACCAAAGAATAAATATGGATAGACACAACATTCCGAAGCACATTTTCAACCTACATCTGAGAAAACAGCTGTATTAGCAAATGCATTTGTTAATACTTCCATGTATGTGTCTAGGAATTGAGGCGCGACACCCTCAAGTTCAAAAGCAACCAGAAGCGCCTCTTTGCACAGTTGTCTAAATCCAACACAGGCAGGGTTCTGCTCTTACAACGGTGATTTCAAGTTCCACAAATGACATGAGGTATCATTTTCAGGATAAAATGCTTCGGCTGCTATATTTGAATAAAGTGCAAAAGAATTTGTCATGCAGAACACACATATCATTTTTTTTTTAAATACTCACATACACATAGACACAACTTTTTTTCCCCGTATGAAAGCTCAGGATCCCTCAACCTTTGTGACAAGTTTCTCCTCTTCTGTCCAGAGAATTGCCTACATCGTTGCAAATGTAAACACTGTTTGCAGAAGGAATACAGTTACTGAAAATAAATCAATGAGCTAGAGGAAGTAAACCACCAAAGGCTCACATTGAGTTGGGTTTTTTAATCTAAACTTTGATATTTTATACGGAGTCTTGACTTGGCAAAAGTGTTACACAAAATCCCTTAAAAAAAGAATCTTCTTACTTTTGTCTCCTTCTAAAATATATCAAAGTCTGGCAATCTGAGAATTACTTTTCCAGTATAGGATAATTTAGCCCTGAGATGGATGGCGTGGTGCAGCAGCCAGGATTTCCCTAACACCACACCCATCACCAGAATTGTCTGCGCCTTCTGGTGCAATGAATATAAAACACAAGCAAATATAAAATTGTCATGAAAGCTACATCTGAAACTCAAGAGGTGATGGTTTTAACCTCAAATTAATATTTCCAGAGGGAATAATATTTGGGGAAAATACGCATTAAAAAATTATAAATTTAATGAAAAAAAGCTTATGTTTGTATAAGATACGATATCCCTAGGTATATTCATTCACAAGATTAGTTTTCTTCAAACTTTAACCGAACCAAATGTTTGACCCATTGTCATCAAGTGAGTTCTGACTTGTGGGGACCCCATGTGTTACAGAGTAGAACTGCTGCATAGGGTTTTCTTGGCTGTAATCTTGTTGGGGAGCCCTGGTGGCACACTGGTTAAGAGAGAGCTTGGCTGCTAACCAATGTGGAATTGTTGGCAGTTCGAGCAGATCGCCAGAACTTTTCTTCCATGGAGTCGCTGGATGGGCTTGAACCACCAACCTTTTGGTTAGCAGCCAAGTGCAAACCACTTGTACTACCACAGGACCCTCACCAAATGTATATTATGCTTTACTCATATGGCATGACCATTACTTAGTGCATCTGACTAATCTTTGGTACCAAAGAAATTACTATCTATACCTCATTCTCACTGATGTATATATACATATATATATACATATATATATATATATATATTTGTAAATTTTCTTTTGGGTAGGTTCCATTCAAGGCATAGCTGATACCCTCGCAAAGTGCATCCATAAAACCTTAATGCTCTGTTTCATTCTCCAAAACTCATTCACAGTTTCCATGAGTTGAGCAGTTGCACTTGGCACTTTCCCTTGATTTTAGATAGTTAACCGTATAAAGCTTAAGTTCACAGGACAGTCGGTAATTTGCAGGACCAGTTGCTAACACGAAAGAGCCCATGCCTCTACACTTAGCTTGCCTTAATGCAGCTCCTGGCCACAGGCAGAAGCAGCTCAGCCTCAGAAGTCCTGTACGCTATTTACAATGGAGAGCAGTTTTGACTTGTCCAAACAAAGTCTTTTTTCTGACTAAGAGGTGGTGTCTCCATATGAAGAGCCAAAAAATAAATAAATAAAATTCAGGTAAATCTTGCATTCTGTGTCCCATAATTATATTTTAGAATACAAACCTATTAATATTACCTCCTTTCTTAAAATGTAAGAACTAAAGCATAATTTTTTTCTAAATAAATTTGCTTCAAAATGTAGATCACAAATTCCCCTGACCATATTGATGGGACTGGCACTTATTCTATGAAGAATTGAAACGATCTATGGAATTCTAGTAAACTTGATTTTCTTAAAAGGTATAAAACTAGATATCATTTTTGTTTGTTTCTGAAATACAATTTAGAAATAAAATTGAAGTCACTCTTCCTTAAAAATAATCTTCTCTAGACTTAGGAATTCCCTAAACTGATCAAAGTTCTTTTTAACACAAGTGGAATTTAATTAAAATAATATGAATTGCTGTTAGGATAAGTTGCAGCCTTGCTTAATAACGCATTGTATTTTTTTTATGTATCTGGTTCACATATATGGAAACTCAGCAAAAGGAATATATCTTTTTTCACACATGAGTACAGTTGGTGGGTGGTGGGGTGTCAATGTGACTTTTGGTCTCTTTAGTGTTGCTGAGAGGTGACTGGGTACGACGGGGGCACTTGAACACTTGCTTGTAGGCCTTCCTGAAATTCTCAGAGAGAAACGCATATATGATGGGATTCACGGATGAATTGCTGTAGGCCAGGCAGTGCGCTGCAATTCTGAAGAGGAACGAGGCAGGGGTCAGGGGGAAGACTCCAAATTCAACCCAGAGATGGATGATATGGTGCGGCAACCAGGATATCCCAAACACCACGACCACCACCAGAACCGTCTGTGCCGTCTAGTGACAAGAAAAGGAAAAGGAAAGAGATGTAGCAATTACAACAGAAAAGAATCCAGCATTTCCATATATGCAGTAAAATAATTTTATATTTTCATTGGGCCATCTCTGCTTTAAGTGTTAACCTTCAATCCATATCTTATTTCTGTTCAAAACTTTTTCAAGACCTGTCAGCAATATCCCTAGTAATAATTTTGTAATGCCCATGAAATGCATGTGGATCATAGGAAGTGCACTTTGAATCATGGAAACAAGGATGTGTAAAGATGAAATGGAGTCCTTGGGTGGTGCAAATGGTTAACGTGCTCAACTGCTAACCAAAAGGCTGGAGGTTTGACTCCAACCAGAGGCACCTTGGAATAAAGGCCTGGTGATCTACTTCAGAAAAAATCAGCCATTGAAAACACTATGGAGCACATTTCTCCTGTGACACACACGGGGTCGCTATGAGTTGGAGTCAACTCCACAGCAACTGGTCCTGGTAAAGACGACATGCTGTAACCATAAAGCCAATAAAAACTCTTCACGCAGAGCACACGTTGAGATGGTGTCAACAGTGAGTGCGCTGACAGGGGTGTGGGTCTGATGAGCACTCGGACCCCTGCTCCAAATAGGCACTTCACACACAAGTAGGTCCATGTTTATTTCTCCTCCTTTGTTGTTGCTGGGTGCCATCAAGCTGATTCCAACTCATAGCAACCCCATATGACAGAGTAGAACTGCCCCATAGGGTTTTCTAGGCTGTAACCTTTATGGGAGATCGCCGGGTCTTTCTGCCCTGGAGCCACTGGTGGGTTGGAATTGCCAACCTTTTGGTTAGCAGTCAAGAACTTAACTGTTGTGCCACCAGGGCTCCTTTCTCTGCCTTAAACCAAAAAACCAAACCCGTTACCATCAAGTTGATTCCAACTTCGACTTTAGTAAGTTAAAGGCCGCATACACTGATTCAGTGATGGGTTCCTAAGTCACTCTAGTTTGGGTCTGTGGGCTAATTAGCCTCATATTCTTGCTTTCATCTCAACCTTTCCCTTGTTGCTCCTAAATAAGAAATATGCAGAAGCAGAGGCAGAAACTCCATGCCTTTCGTTTGAGATTCCCATTGAAAAGGCCACAGAAGGGTGTCTTTCCTGATTAAGGAACTCAACACGAGAGGCGTACTCCCCCCACTCAACACTTGGGTGCTGTGTTTCACCATCACACTCTGCCTTGTGTGAATACACATTGATTCCTCTACTGGCCATGAGCCCAAAGGGCTGGAATGAAGCCTCAGAGTGGCTTCTCCCACCCTGCTTCCAGTCAGTCCATCCAGGACAAGTTAGTAGGTAACTAACTTGGTGATAAATCGAAAACTGTACTTCTAAGGATCCAAACAAAAAAGAGTGTTCTAGTTTATTGAAATGCCTTTGTTGTGAGAGTCTAATATTTTCTAAACTATAAAATACAAAGTAATCAGTCTCTCCTATTCATGGCTGATCCAACTCCCAGTTCACTTTACCAGGGATTTCAATTCTCATAGGAAAGAGAAATATTGAAGAGGTATCTACTTCCAGTGCCTTGCCCAAATGCTAGGAGTCAAGGAAACTCTCTTTTTTCTCAGGTATACTCCAGGCTGTAATATTTTAAACAGAGTGCTTGAATATGTGGAGAGGAAATCAACAGTAATATCACTTTCTTCCTGCGCCTCCCCACACATCTCAAGGGCCAGGAAAGCAGGGCTTCAAACCAGTTCTGCCTGGTTTAGTCATAGCTGACGGAGCAAAACCTAATAGATCTGAATTTTTACAATTTGAGTGCTCCAGAACAGTCACCGAAATGGGAAAAATTACAGGTCAAAGCCCTGGAATGGGAGACTCAGAAGAGGCATATTGAACCCTTTCAGGAGCCAGATGGGTGAGACTGGATTATTGGCAGGACTGTGGAGAGCAACACATATTCAAAGCAGCATGGTCAGCCACCATGTTTGAGTGCGGCACTACTGTTTCTGACTCTGCTCAAAATCTAATGGGCAAGAGATTTGGTTGCTATGCAACACGTATGCTGCCCTTGCTTTCAAAAAAGGAGATTAAGTTTCTAGCAAAGCTTTGACCCGTAATTTTTCCTGTTCTGCTGACCATTCCAGTTCATCTAAATTCTAAAACTTTGAGTCTGTTCTGGTTTCACTTCCTTAGCCATGACTGAACCATGCAGAACCGGTTTGAAGCCCTGCAGGAAGGTGTGCAGCGAATATATTTCCTTGGATCTTATATCTTGATGCTGAAGTGGAAGTGTTGTGTGAGCATGACCTGGTGACTACCACTATTTTCCCTTCTATACAGAATTATTCCTGATGAAAGTGGATGGAAAAGGGGAGGGAAGCTGGGAGGATAGAAGAGAGAGAAGGGAGATGAAAACAACATAGTCTTTGTTGTTGTGTGCCATCAAGTCAATTCTGAGTCATAGGGTCACTATAGCGACCCTATCTTGACAGAGTAGAACTACCTCACAGGGTTTTCTAGGCTGTAATCTTTGTGGAGGCAGATCGCCAGGTCTTTTCTCTGAAGGAATGGCTGCTGGGTCCAAACCGCCAACCTTTCATTGAGTAGCCGAGCACTTAACCAACAACATATTGAGGCTTATTTTTCTTGTGACTTTACTCTGAAGGAAGAATAAGGCACAAGAGCACGAGTTCATGACAGGAAATCACTGTTATACCATGGATTCTTCTATTGGAAATGTAGGCTTCAAATGCTGCAGAAATATCAACAGGAATACTTTGCCCTATTGTCTCAATGCCACACTGCTGTAAGGGGAATTCCTACCTGACAAAAGGACTTTTTATATGACTTCTCCCCATGAACTGGAATCCTGTTGTTGTAGAAAACAACATCTAGCTTATAGTGAGCAATGCACCAACTTATGAAGCTACAATGCTAGTAAAGTCAGAAGCCAGAGTGTTTGTAACCAAGGTGGAGGCATGATGGGAGAGGAGATGATGAGAGTCCATTAAGGAGAGGACAAAGGCCTGTGGTCAGGATGGACACAGGGCGAGGCACGCAGACTGAGCAGGAATGTAGACACCAGCAGGTCAACCTTCTAGCCCCTGCTGCACCAGGAACCAGCAGCCTGACCTTTGAAAAAATGACAGCACCCCTCTGAGGCCCGATTTTCTCATCTAAGAGAATGAACCACCGAAATGTTTCCCAGCTTGTGCTTAATCCACTGAGGCACTAAAAACAACTCAGGTATTAAAACCTGGCAACAGGTTTTTATATGGCGATCAGCTTATATATTAAAGCCACTTAGCACAGGGCACACCAGGCAAACAAATCATTTGCTCAGGTATATCAGGGGAGTGTCTGCTATCAGTCCATTTACTCTATTAGCTTAGAAGAAATTCCATTCTGAGATGATTTAATCAAGACAATCTAGATATAATTACACCAACAAAATAGAACAGAAAACACAATCTTTTCTTTCTAAGACAATAGGAACATCTCTCTACTTCACAAAATAAATACCCTCTGGATATTCGGTTCCATGGTTTTTTTTTTGAGATCTTTTCACTACACACAAAGCTTAGGGCAGAAATAGATTCTAGCAGCTTATTAACAAGATTCATATCTTATCAAGGTTCATAGGGCAGAAAGCAGTCGGTCATGGCTATGCTGTATTTTCGGTGGCTGTAGTTGTTATTGTGTGTTTTTAACTAATTCAAAATTTATCACTATATTTTCCTCAATCCTGCCTGCCCTCTCAAAACCATGGACAAGAGTCAGGTTCTTTTTCTTGGTTTACCAGTAGCTTTGAAATGTGGCTGGTTTACAATTTACAATAATACTGAATGCATATTTACTGAACGGACTGTATCATTCATCTATGACTGTAGCCAGGAATCAGAATCAACTTGACAGCAACGGTTTTGGTTTGGTTTGGTCCCTGGGTGGTGCAAACATTGAAAGCGTTTGGCTGCTAACCAAAAATTTGGAAGTTTGAGTCCATCTAGAGGCACCTTGGAAGAAAAGCCTGGTGATCTGAAAAATCAGCCATTGAAAACCACACGGAGCACAGTTCTACTGACATACATGAGGAGTCGACTCAGCTGCAACTGGTTGTTGTTACTGGGTGCCATTGAGTTGATTCCAATTCATAGCGACCCCTTGTGACAGAGTGGAACTGCCCCACAGAGTCTTCTCAGCTTTAATCTTTACAGCAGCAGAACACCAGATCTTCCTCCTGTGGAGCTGCTGGATGGGTCTGAACCACCAACCTTTCCGTTAGCAGCTGAGAGCTTAACCTTTGCACCACCAGGGCTCCTTTGGATGACTGGTTACTGGTTCCCAAAGGAGTCTATCAGAATGCCTCTCTATGCTGTGTTCTCAGCTAAGTGTCTCCAGAGCCTTCACATTTTCTCCATGTTTCATTACACCCCAGCCTACTGCAGGTGATGTTCTTGTAGCTGGTAAGGGAGCAAGAGCACTGCCCACGGGCCCTGGGCGCTCAGCCCTGAGCCCTCGGGTGACTCCTGTGCAGCCCGGCAGCCTCAGGAGAGTGGGACAGGCCAGGAGCGGAGTTGGAAATGGCAGAGGAGCTTCTTCTTCTGTCTTCCTTTCAACAGAAGCCTTGGCCTCAGGGCCGAGAGACTGAGAGGAGGGTGAGGAGGGAAAGAAGCTCCAGACCAGTAGAAAACCACTCTTCATTCATCACTGCTCCTGAATGGTCAAACTCGGAAAAGGATGTTCCCAGAGCATGCTGGCTAAAGATAAAGATCTGGTCAAAATAGCACATGTGCACTCACCCCAAGCCTGGGTTCAAATAGGTCAGGGATCCCACCGAGACCCTCTGCAGGGCTTTATAAACTCAGGCAGCGAGGCTGCTTCCCAGGACTCTGACTCAGTGGTGGCAGTTATTAGGCAGTGTTATGCATTGAATTGTATCCCCAAAAAATATGTTATAAATCCTAACCCCTATGCCTGTGGTTACAATCCCATCTGGGAGTAGGTTTTCTTTGCTATGTTAATGGC